GCGCGCGCGTCAACCTCACTTGGCGTAGGGCCTTGCTGCTGCAGCCCAAGCAAGCCTTGTAATCCATCACCTCCGATGCGCGATGCGGCCGGCGGCGCAGCACGACAGACCGACACACAGACACACAGACACACAGACACACACAGACACACACACACACACACGGACACACACAGACACTCACACACGGACACACACGGACACACACGGACACACACGGACACACACAGACACTCACACACTGTCACAGCGACAAATCGCCCATCAAAACGGCATGACTACTCCTTCCTCCGCCTCACTCGCTGACTGGCCGGCTTTTGCTTTGGCTGGCTGCTGTGCATCTTTCTTTACCCGCTCTTTGATTTGCGTTGCACGGTAGAAAACGCGAGAAAACGTCTTTTGTATTTCCAGATCCGGTCTTGGATCTTGCGCAGGAAGCCACTGGCATCCAAGACCAAGTCTTGAAATACAAGAAACTACCGTGTGGTGCCCCAACCCCACCCCATCCTGTCCTGCCCTTCCTATAATACTGATTGTCTGGCTGACGACTAAATTTCTAGCAACAACGTCCTACCTTCCCCAAACGAACAAACAAAATAATGATGATTTTCAATGTGGAGCGTGTCGTGAAGTGTTAAATGTCACTTTGCTTGAAAGCATGCACAAAAAGAATAGTTAAGACAGTTTACATAAAACCATAGGCGTTTTCTCCCCATTACATGATCAATATTCATGTGTATGCGATGGACTTTGGATGACTTTTGTTGCTACAGTACTATAAAGCAGGAGAGATGCAGCCCCCAACAACACAACACGCCTGAAGAGCAGGCAAAGTGCTCAACAGCCCGCCGGACAGTGCGGGCATGCATGGCCTTTCCCTCGGCCTTTCCCTGCCGCTCCCTGTCACCAGAAGGTTGCCTGGATCCCCGCCCGCTAAATACTGTTTGTTATGAAACAGCAGCACACACGGCTAGGGCTCACATCGGCCCGCCGTTACTGCACTCGGCTCTTTACAGCCACGGCCGCCCGAGACAAAGGCAGAGGCATTCGCAGAGGCTAAAAAGTTATTGCGCCAGGATAACAGGAGTTTGGGTCCCGTATGGCGTCGCTGTTGTCGTACTCGACTCACCTGGTGGCGGCGGTCTTCTGGGCGAGTTGCCGAAGGGAAAATAAGGTGAGTCCGGTCCGAAGGGCTCGCCGCCCGCGTAGCTGTTACCGTATGGCTGCAACAAACAAGAACACACACAACATGAGGACCGGTGAGGATGGCGCGGACATCTGCTCAAACAAAATTACACCCTATTCGCTCCTCCGCTCGTCTCAAGGCTTTGGCGACCGCAGGCAGGCGGCCAGCCTCGCCTCGGCCGCCGCGCGGACTTTGAGAAACCATCTTCCGATATGTGGGACACACACACACACACATACACACACACACATACACTCACTCCGCCTCAAAACCGTCTAGCGCTCTCTAGAGCGCGAGGTGCAGTGGCAGTGCCAATAGAATGAAAATCGCGCATTCTGCAGCGAATTGAGAATGACACAACATGTACACAACACAAAACCTTGCATGTAGGCACAACACAGAATTCAGAAGCCAACAAGTGCCAGAGCCACAAAATTTGAGGTGAACTGTGTTCAAATCAGTCGATACACCCAAACGAGTGAATGTTGAACACTTGTAAGTACATGAATTCCGGGGTAAATTAATATTCACACACTGCTCGTACAAATTCAAAGAGAAGACGTTCGAAAGAAGAGGAGTGAAGGGAGTGAATACATTCATTGGAATTTTATCCACCTGCTGCACCTAGGAGTGCAAGAATGGAAATCCACACGCCTACAACCTACAAGTGTGCGACATTCACACACCTGTGTTCCCCGTTGTGCAAAGTGAGGAGGATGCGCCAAAGGGGGAAATCATTTCGTGACATTTGCCTGCTGTTTCGGTTATTTCTCGCCTATTTCGGATTATTTCAGGGTATTTCGCGGTATTTCGCAGTATTTCGGGGGTATTTCGCGACTATTCCAGCGACTATTTCGCGTCTATTTCCGGTCTATTTCGCCTTTAATTCCGACTATTTCGAGGGAAGGTGTACGAACTATTTCGGCATGCGCTCTTATCGGGCCATGTACTTGAAATGATAAATTAAAATGAACAGGGGGCACGACGCGAGCGAGCGTCTTGTCGTGGGCCGCCGGCCCGCGCTGGCACGCCGGGCGATACACTCGCCACCCATTCACCCGGCCTAGTCGCTAAATATCGCCGGCACACCTGTAAATAACGCGGTAAATATAGAGGGACTTGGAGCGGAGCGGGCAGGGGGGAGGGGGGAGGAGGGTCCGGCACCGCCGCCAGCCCGCCGGCGCGCGGAGGCAAAAGTGGACGCGCTGCTCTATGGTCCATTATAGTTGTAATTTATGTGAAAACCACACTCACTCCATCCCCTCCAGCGCCCAGCACCCCCCCCCCCCTTTCCCCAACCACCAACGGTCCAGCCGACGCCAACGGGTAGAGAGGGGAGGGGGAGAGAGGACGTGGGGAAGCTTCTTCCATGGCGCTAAAAACGCTTCACGATTATTACTATTTCTATGAATGAGAAGAAGAGGAGAAGAGAATAAGAATAAGATGAACCGAGAAGGAGAAACAAGACACGTAGCAAAAGGAGGAGCGGGGTGAAAGAAAGGAAAAGAGGAAAAGTTGCAAGTTAAGTAAGCGAAGAAAGAAAGGTGAGTGAGTGGAGGACGAGAAGGAGAAATAGAAGAGCAGGGAGTGAGAAGAGAGGGCGGTGGGCGCCAACTTGGTCCAGTTCGCCGGGGTGGTGGGGGACCCGCCCGGGTATGGCGAGAGGCGCGCTCGGCTCGCTAAGTCGCCGACAAAGTGTGTCTTCTCTACTTTTAATGTCCGCAGACGACTTCCCTACTAAACAAATAAAATACAGATTTAGAGGCGCGAGCAGAAAAGAGAGGGGCCCGGCCCCGGCCGAGGGGGGCGGTTGGGGGCCGGGCAAGTTGGCGGTGAAGATGTTAGTTTGCAGCGCGGGGCCGGGCCGGGGCCGGGCCGAGGGTGGGGTGGTTGCGGAGCTTATGAGAATAGTTGGCGGGGGAGCGAAGGGGGTGGAGCCGGGCGGAGGGTGGGGAGGTGATATCTAACGCCCAGCGCCACCACCAGCCCCTGCCGCGCCTCCAAACGCGCAAACAATTACGGAAGTGGGCTATTGAGTGGTCAGACCCGGCCTCCTTCGCCCCCCCACCCCCGCCCCTCTCTCCCCGCTCTCTTCTCCTGCATGCGCTCTGCCTTGGCTCTGCCCCCCGTGCCGGACGCACGCAAGCAAGTATGGTCCAGCATCGTTTCCTTTTCAGCGGACTTCAACCACCGAATTTAACACTGCCACAGGCACCCGAAAGCATATGGCCCCCAACCAACCAGCGCCCGTCCTACCTCGGACGTTCCAAGAGGCAGCCCAGTGAGGGGTCCCTCACTCGGGTGTACAATGAGACGCGAGTACTCGGAAGTATCCGAGAGTTTTGGGAAGTTTCCCGAGTATTTGGCGAGTATTTCTCGATGATTTTTTCGCGAGTTGGCGCGAGTTTTATGCGAGTTGCCACTAGTATCGCGAGTATCTTGCGAGTATTTTTTTTTCCTGTACAATGAGTTTTATCGTAGGTAGGGGCCCCTCGGTAGCCCGTCCGTGAACTATGGTTTGGCCTCGGTGCAACTACCCTAGGGATGAAGGAGGACAAGCCATGAAGGGGAAGGGCGAGGGTAGTACCCGTACCCGAGGCCAGCACCACGCTCGAGGCGCGCAGCCCTTTGGGAGCAGGGCGCGTGCGGGAGCGGGAGCGAGAGAGACCGAGCGAGGAGGAGGGGCGTGGAAGGGGAAGTTCC